CCACAAGAAATAGATGTCTCGATGTTTCATTAGCATCAATCATTGGTTAAATTTGGAGATATTTAGTTGTAATTTAGTTAATCTAATTTGGCAAAAGGTAAGCTATTGACTCGAGTCTTTTTTTTCTTAGAGTTTTGGTTGACTCAAACCCTTTTCTTAATGTTTCTTTCTTGTTCAGCATCTTTCTCACTTAATTAGGTGCATTTGACTTCACTCTGAAGTACAAGAAACCGTGGAAAACATTTTCAATTGAAAGGATTAGAATCTTGGAAAATTCTGCCCAAAATCTTAGCCATTCCACGTCAATTTAGAGCCATTTTTAAAAAATTTGTTTTTGAATTTTCTATTTAGCTTTTGGACTTGCTTCTTGAACATTTAACCCACTCTGAGTCATAGTTTTGCCATTAAAATTTTAGATTTTTCTCTAATCATTGTCTTGCTCAAAATGGGCCACCTTAAGATCCTGGGTTATTTTGGTCATTTTAACCAATTTTACAATTTGTATTTGATTTTCTATTTTGTTTCTTCTTGGTATCTCTTAATGTAGATAGTTGAGAATTATCTTAGGTTATTTAGGGTGTTACACTAACATTTTAATTTTTTTTAAAAATAAATGGGATATCATGTGTAATTTAAAAAAATTAAATTAAAATTTTCTTTTAATGACATTTTTATAGTATCATTTCGTATTATTTAAATTAATTCTTAATTTGATTGTAATTTTTTGAAAAATAATCATGTGTTAAAAATTTAATCAACATATAATAATAAATAACAATAGTAGGAAAGATAATAAAATAATAATACTATTTCTTGCAAACAATATCAACTGATTATAAATATAATTTTTATATTAAAAATAATTTTTTTACTAATATTATAATCTATGATTTTATAAGAGTGTAAAAATTCTTTACATTGTATGTATTTAAATTAAATTCTTAATTTAATTATAATATTTTACATATTAATATGCTAAGATTTTAATTTTTTAAAGAATAAATCAAATCGATTAGTATGAATCGTCAAAACTTATATCTTTGGAATTGATTTCGTGGCTCACGTGTAAAACAAATACTTTTTACATTTACTAGCATAATTAATTATAAACTAATCAAATTATATGTACATAATTTGTTGATAATATATGTAAAACTTTAATACTTAGATTACTTAATTTTTTTATAAAATGTAAGATTGACCAATCCAATTATTAAATTATTCTATATTATTTTTATGATCATATATATCAACATTTACATAATTTAGATATTTATAAATATGTTATTCAAAATTTAATAATTATTATATTTTAAAAATATATTATACATTGAAATAAAATAATATGACGAAGTATCTTCAACTTTTTTTTAATTTTATATATAAATGGCATTTTTTTATGTTTTATAAACACTTAAAACAAAACAATACTTAAAATTTAATTTTTCATTATATTCACCAAATATAATAATAAAAATAATAATGTATGATTTGGTTGCATAATATTTCACTCTATTTTATTTGCAAATCAAGCATTATCTGATCTAAATTTTATACGTGCAGTTTTTTTTTAGAGATGTTAATTATTATGTATCTTAATTAAAAGAGCATCTTTATTAAAAGTAATAATTTATACTTATTGAAACTTTTTTTATTAAAAGAGATAAATTTTTCTTTAAACTTAAATGCCTATCACTTTTGTGTTGTGGTAGCAGCAATTACATCTCCTGACACAAAGAATGACAATTTTTTTTCTTCAATATTTAATATTTTCTTTTCTTTTTTATACCAAAGTCACTTGCAAAAGACATATCTAAATTGCATGTTTAAATGATTTTATTATTCTTATAAAAATAAATTTAAAATATAGTTGAAATTTTAGTATTTTATTTATAATTATAAAATTTATTTTGATATATTTTATTTAGTATTTTTCTTTTTTATTATTTGACAAATTATTTCTTTGATAAATTTTACCAAACTTGTTTCTATTTAATTAGTAATAATTTTAAATATACTAATTCCTAATGATAGTAAGAAGAATTTATTGATTTACCCATTATTTTACATATGAAAGATATTTTAAATTTTATATTTGAGTTTTTATCCTTTAACATAAAAATATATATGTATTTTTTTTACCTTAAAATTTTGAACTATATTTATTTAATTTTACATTAAAATATTATTTTATTTTATTTTACCAGCACTTAATAAAACTGGACTTAAAATCTAGTTTTGTATATAATATTAAGAATAACAATTTCTCATTTTTTTGGCTTACATGCCAACACATTGAAAATAATTTTTTTTTACAATATTAAATAATGATAACAATTTAAAGTTTACTTTCTTCTGTATGAAATGGTAGGATTATTTAATATATAAAACAACATTCCTTACACGGAAAAGACTATAACAATTTTTTTTATATATAATTCTTTCTTCTTTCTCACATACATACACTCACTTATAGCAAGACATTAATACTAAAAAGAGTAGGCTTAGCGGATCGACAGGAAGAATCAAGATATTAAGAAATAAAGAAAAAGAAGTTATAACTTTACATTAATTAAAATTATAGAATATTTTTATTTAATTTTACATTAAAATAGTATTTTATTTTATTTTATTTTACAAACACTTAAAACAAAACAAGACCAAAAAACTAATTTTGTATGACAATTACCAAATATATTAAAAAAACTAACCATTGCAATACGTTGAAATGAATTTATTTTACAAAATTAAATAATAACAATTAGCACAAGATAGAATATTAAAAAAATTAGTATACCTCAAAGAAAAAGAATAAATAATAAATATTAAATATTAAAAATTAGTAATAAAAAATTCTTTGATATTTAGTTGAAATGTAAAAAATAAAAACAAAAATAAAATAGATACGAAGAAAGTATAACATCAAAATTAATTAACATTATATCTTTAGTGAACTTTAATAATAAAAACTATTCTAATAAAAAATAATAATTAAAATAAATTAATCTATTAAAATAAATTAAAAATTTATTTACTTATTTTTATAAATTTTAATTCATAATACATGAGTTAAAATTTAATTATTATATAATAATTAATAATGATAGGAAAAAAGATAATAAAATAATATATATATATATATATATATATATTTCATATAAAATATCAACATAAATAATGATAATAAGAAAGAAAATAAAATTATATATATATATATATATATATATATATTTCATCAAAAAATATCAATTAATTGTAAATATAATTTTCATATTAAAAATAAATCGTTTGCTAATATTATAATGTATTATTTTATGACAATGTAAAATTTTTTTACACTATATGTATTTAAATTAAATTTTTAGTTTGATTATATTTTTAAAAATGATTATTATGCTAATATTTTAATATTTTTAATAATAAATATGATATTACGTTTGAATTTAAAAAATAAATTAAATTATTTATCTAATGACATTTTTATAGTATTATTTTGTTTATTTATTGTTAGTATATTATAAAAAAAATAATTTTAATATCAAGAAAAATCTAAAAACTAACAAAAGTGACCGCATTATGTAAAAATTTAAAAAAAAAACTTTTAGAGAATATAAAATAATTTATATATGTATTTATTTGTTTACCAATATTTGTGTATTGTTTAATTTGAAAACTATTAAAGAAGAAGTGAAAATTTTTAAAAGTATGAGCATGGATAAGCATAACTAAAAATAGGTTGATGAATAAAGAACAAAAATGTACATATTAATAAGAAAAGTGAAAAATAAAATAAAATAATATTAAAAAATAATAATAATGTTTTTGAAGCTAAAAAGAAAGAGAATTAGAAAAAGAAAAGAAAAAATGCATCAAAAAAGAATATGAAAAAAATTTTAATAAAAAAGAAAAATATTTTATTTTTTAAAATCAATTTCATGAAAAAAGAATTACTATAAATTATGAAGTATTTATTACATCTCTAAAAATAAATATGATATTATATTTAACATTAAAAATTAAATTAAAATTTTTAAAAACATATTTTTGTAATATTATTTTTTTAAAAATTATGGAAAATACAAAAATAAATTTAAAAACTAATATTAAAAGTAAAACTTTATTATAAAAAAATAAAATATGAAAAAAAATTTAATAAAAAATAAAAAATATTTTATTTGTTAAAATCAATTTCATGAAAAAAGAATTACTATAAATTATGAAGTATTTTTTATTACATCTCTAAAAATAAAAATGATATTATGTTTAACATTAAAAATTAAATTAAAATTTTTAAAAAAATATTTTTGTAATAGTATTTTTTAAAAAAAATTATGAATAATATATATAAAAAATAATTTTAATATAAAAATAAATTTAAAAATTAATATTAGAAGTAAAACTTTATTTTATGTTGCCACTGTTCCTCTTCGTCTTCCTCCTGCATTCTCCCTCCATCCTTCACTTTTTAGTTTGTTCATGAATATCGAGCATCTTTTTCTTCAAATGTCGTTAGCAATATAATGCTTGGAAAACTTTCATCGGAACTTTCTCTTTCTCGATGTTAGGGCTTTAGTCCAAGAAGCCATACTCGTTCAATAGAGGAAGTTGTTCGACTTGTTATTCCAGCTGCATAAACAAAATGGAAATGAGATAAAAGGTAATGATATACCTCTCATGTCAAGGGTAATGGAGGAAGAGTAGTCCAGAGAAACCCAGCGCCTCCATTCGGAAGGTTTGGCTTGAGAAGAACTTACTGTAACTCCCACTTTTTCAGCTCCGCATCTCCATTGAAGCTTTGGGACGAAGCTGTGGTGGACTAAGACTCTTTTCGTTGGGTTGCCTTTCCGGTAAGAGAGTAAGCATTTATCATCCAGCCGAGAACAGAGAGGTATAGTACCTACTTTCTTCCATTTTATTTTTCTGATTGCTTTCTTAAACCTTTCTACCTTAACACAGGCACCTAATACATCAGGGACAGAAGTTTGACCCAATCTTGCATAATGGTTGATGTTGTTGGGCCAGTGCTATCTGCCATCTTTGCGGTTCTCCTTGAGAGAATGGCTGTGCGTGAAGTGGTGGATTTTTTTAGAAAGAATGATCTGGACCTGTCCCTTTTGGAGAAGATGAAAACGTGGTTGATGTCTGTGAACTCAGTTCTTGCTTATGCTGAAGAGAAAGAGGCAGTTGATCCATTTGTAAAAAAATGGGTGGACAAACTGAGAGAGGTAGTCTATGATGCAGAAGACTTGGTAGATAAAATTACTTTTCAGACTTTACAGGATGAATCTCAATTGGACAAGATGCTGGGTTTTGTTTCTTCTCTGAATCCATTCAGCACAGGAGTAAATGCTAAGATTGAGAAGATAATAGAGGCACTTGAATTAGTAGCACAACAAAAGGATTTTCTTGGTCTAGAAGAAGAGAGTGTTAGAAAGGAGTTACTTCCATATTCCAAGCCTACATCTTCTCTGGTCAATGCATCTCATATACACGGAAGAGACAACGATGTAAAAATTATTACTGACTTTTTACTATCAGCAAATGCAAGTGATGAACAAGGTGCTTCTGTTGTTGCAATTGTTGGGGTAGCAGGAATTGGCAAGACCACTCTTGCTCAGCTTGTATACAATCAAGAGGAGGTGAAGGCACATTTTCCTCTAAGAGTGTGGGTCCACGTTTCATATGGATTGGATTATTATGGGATAACCAGCAAAATTTATGAAGCTGTCACTGTGAACCCGTGCTCTACAACAGACTTTAACCTACTCCAGGTTAAACTAAAAGAGATAACAGAGGGAATAAGGTTTCTAATGATCTTGGATGATTTAGATGGATTTTTTGACTGGGATATTATCAAGAAGCCTTTTATTGCAAGCAGTGGTAGTAAAATCATTGTGACATCACGCACATTCTCAACTGCATCTATCCTCGGTGCTTCTCTGACTCATTCTCTCTCTTATCTAGAATACGAAGATTGTTGGAAGTTATTTGTAGATCATGCATTTAAAAATAGAAATCTCAGTGCATGTTCAACTTTACAAAAGATAGGACAAAGAATAGTTAGAAAGTGCTGTGGTCTACCCGTGGCAGCAAAGATGTTAGGTAGTCTCTTACATTCCTTGCCAGCTACTGAAGAATGGGATCGTGTATTGACAAGTAAGCTGTGGGACCTACCAAGCATCAATTTGGTTCCAAGTATAATGTTGGGTTATAACAATCTGCCTTCTCATATGAAGCGATGTTTTGCCTACTGTTCTGTATTCCCCAGGGGATATAAAATTCACAGAAAGTGTTTGATAGGTTTGTGGATGGCTGAAGGTCTCATTGCACAGCCAAAAAGTGCTTGGCGAATGGAAGATGTTGGAAACAAGTACATTAACGAGTTACTTTCGAGGTCTTTTCTACAGGTAGAAAAGAAAAAAGATTGTTTTGTAATGCCTGATCTGCTCCACGACCTAGCCCAATATGTTGCAGGAGAATTTACTTGTACCCTAGAGGACGACCTCCAACAGAAAGTATCTGCAAAAACTCGTTATGTGTCCTTCCCAGGAAACAAAAATGTAATTGCTGGGAGATTGGATGACTCTACAGAACTTGTGCAACTGAGAACTTTTCTATTTTGCAAGTCCTCGGTCATTCACTTGTCTTCTACTACAGAGGAGTTGTTCAATGTTTCAGAACTGTTGCCCAAGCTGAAACGTCTGCGAGCACTTTCTCTGTCTTGTTATCACATGGATAGAATGACAGATTCAATTGGAAAACCTAAGTATCTTCGGTATTTGGATCTTTCTTACACTTCAATCACCCAGCTTCCATATGATGTTGGCTCGCTGTATAACCTAGAGACACTTCTACTCTCTCATTGTTCTCGTCTCAAGGACTTACCGTCTAACTTGTGCAAGCTTGTCAATTTGCGCTGTCTGGACATCAATGGAACTAAGTTATCAGAGATGCCTTTGAATTTCAATGAATTGAAAGCTCTCCAGGTATTGACGGATTTTTTTATAGGCAGAGACAGTGGATCTCAGGTTAGTGAGTTGGGTGAGCTTTCAGAGCTTCATGGTTCACTTACTCTTACAAATCTGCAAAATGTGATAGATGCTGCAGATGCTTCACTGACAAATTTGAAGAGTAAAAAATATCTAGTGAAATTGCAATTCAAATGGACAACGGTGAATCATGACATACAGAATGAGACAGACGTGCTCCATCTACTGCAACCACATGAATATTTGAAAAAGCTCATTATCAAGAACTTTGGTGGTTCCCTTCCTATCTGGTTGGGAAACTCTCTGTTATCTAACTTGGTGTTTTTAAATCTCATTGACTGAATTGCACGTCCCTCCCATCTTTGGGACAGTTGCCTTCTCTCATGGAGCTGCGCTTAACAAAATTCAATAGTTTGCAAATGATTGGTCCAGAATTCTATGGGAACCTGATTGAACCTTTCAGGTCACTGGAAATCCTTAAGTTTGAGGATATGCTGCAGTGGAAGGAATGGCTGCCGGTTGTAGTTGAGGGTAGAGAATTTCCTTCACTTGTACAACTTCACGTGAAAAGATGTCCCTGGCTTACTGGAAAGCTACCAAGCTGCCTAATTTCCTTGGAAAACCTGTTGATTTCTGGATGTCCAAACCTAGAGAATTCGCTGCCAAGGGTTCCAATGTTGAGAGAACTAGAGTTAGCAGACTGCAAGAAGTTGCAACTAATCCAGATTGGGGACTCTGAGAACAAATTTGCTTCCCTTGAGAAATTACATTTAAAGAGTAGCTGTGATTCTCTTGTCTCTTTTCCATTCAGCTTCTTCACTTCTCTCCAAGAACTCCATATCCAAGATTGTGGCAGCCTCAAGTCCTCCTCAATTTCATCAGAGTGTCTACAGACTTTGAAACTTAAGGATTGCCCAAACCTGGTCTGCCTCTCTGAATGTCTTCCTGCTCCCAAACTCCAGTCACTCTCCATCAGTAGACTTATGAAGCTTTCATTGCTGGACCATATTCAACACCTTACTTCTCTTGAGTATCTGAAGATCAAGGATTGTGATCAGCTTGAATCTGTACCTCTGCAGGGACTGGCGGACTCCCTTCTTACTCTTATTGTTAAGGGATGTTCACTGCTAAAGCCTCTGCTTGAGAGGGGCACAAATCGGAAGCTTCTCTCTCGCATACCCCATTCAACCATTGTGGATTAAGCAACATCACAGAACTCCTACTTTCAGGTGGTTTTTTGTCATTCTAAGTTGCATCGTACGCTTTATGATAAAATTCATTTACCATCGTGTCATCTTTCTTTAATGCAGCTGTGTGCAGTGCAGTTTGCAGTTTGTAATAGATAACATAAAAGACCCAACCATACTTCATTTCCAGTTGCTATGTCGAAGGATAAAGACCACCAATCTGTCATGCACCTTCAAATATCTTTTAGGTCAGCATATCATTTTCAGCTTTTTTAGAGCAAATAAAATTATCTTACTAATTTACATTTAAAATATGTTGGACATGGACTTGAAGTTTATTTATTGAGTTATCACTGTGGAAGCTTTGTATATTGCAATTTGAGTTATTTGATTTGATATCTCCCCTTTCCTTTGAATCCAGCTACTCAGTTCTTGTCAAAAGGAACCCCACTTGTATATTCAATACATGGATTGTAAGGCATTTTACAGAAGATGACTATACGTTAACAGTTTTTTTTTCAAACTCTGATGAATTGTTATTGCCGTTTCTACCTCGTGTGTGTGCATAACTGTAAATTCAAACTTAAAAGATATGTTTTTCTTTTACATTTTTGTCTCCTGCCTTATTTCTACATTTCTTTATTTGCCTTCCATTTTTGGTATATGTTTGTGGTTTTTTGCATTCTAAGTTGCATCACAAGCTTTATGATAAAATTGATTTACCATCATGTCATCTTTCTTTAATGCAGCCGTATGCAGTGCAGCTTCATCTGTTTGTCGCATGTTTTTTATTTCTTAGCTGGTAGGGCTTTCAACGAGCATGCTTGCGAATGGACATGAAATGGTAATCCTTATGTTTTGCTAATTCTATTATGTAATGAATGTGTTTAAGAATCTTTTATCTGCATTTCTTGTCAGCTGTTATGATATGAAGTCAGTACTGAATAAGGACACTGATCAAGGACAGGTCCATTAGCTAGACTTGTTAGATTTGGTTGGACAAAAGGGGAAATCATATTGGGGAAAGGGCATTTGGTGTAGTTGACAATTTTGTGAGTGAGTGAAAGGAGAGATCCTTTCTGAAGGGGAAACCTTTGGGGAGAATTCTGCTCTATTTTTTCTGTTCTCTGTTTCAATAATACAGTTCTGCTCTGCTCTCTTGATTCTTTCTGTCTTGTTTCCATCTTAATTCTCAGAGTTCCGACCATTGAGTTAGTTTAGTTTAGTTTAATATAGTTTCCTTGCTCAAATCCTCCTTAGTGATTGGGTTCTTCCATGCTTGGTGATAAAGGGGTTTGTTAGTTCTTTTAACTCCCTTTGACTGTGCTTGTATGATCAATGTTTATCTCCAACATGCTTCAAAAGAATATGAATTTTGTGTTAGGTTTAAAGCTATGGCATCATAGGTGAGTGCTTATTGTTTTAAGATGCTTTGGATAAACTATTTTACTGTCCAGATATAGTGCATATAAACTATTTTTTCAGTTTGGTTGAAAGGGCTAGTAAAATGTTGAATTGAGTCTCCCAGTTCTTTGATAGTTCATAGTATTATTTATTCCAAAAGTATTGTAATTTAAATAATGTGAATTAAGGGTTTATATCTTTTATTAATTTTATTTTTGTAATTCTATTTTTTCCTATACTCTTGAGTGAGCTCTATTTGTAATATAATTTTTATTTTATTTTACATAGTGATGGCAATTCAGAGAAAGATGTTTGAAGCTAACGAAAGTAGTGTGGATGAGGCTCCCACTTGGACTAATTATTACAGTTGTAGCTTGCCTTTATGTCTTCTGGTGGCAAGAAATAGGCTATTTTAGTCCACTTGTGAAAGCTTTCTTGATCAATGGTAATCTAATGTAGCCTTTTGTCATCTGCATACTTTTTTTTTTGTTATGAATAATCAATAGTATTTTCCATAATCTTATCTCGCTTCAAAACATATGGAACCAAACATAGTAGAACAACTCCTGAAAACATCACTCCACAGTATTTCTAGAATTTTATCAACGAAGCTCAATTGTTATGCCAGGTTTTGCATTTTGGAGCTGGCTGAGCCTTTGTATATTCTTTAATAGAATTTGGTCTTGCTTGAATTACTGCTGATGGTGGAGACAGTAGCTACTTTTTTACAGTGCTTGACGATGTATATTGTCAAGCAAACTGTAATTGTAAGAGGCCAGTGATTTTGATCTTTACCTTCCTTGTCGTTAAGCAGACAGATTGTTTTTTCTATTATTCTTGCAACATGCTAAAGACAGGTTGATTCCTGATTTATATTCTGCTAATTACTGTTGTCTCTGCAAATTGCTGTTGATTACTTGATTTTGTTTTGTTTTGTTTTTCTTAATGACATTTGTTCATAAACATTAGAACAGTGGATCGTCAGACCAAGTATTGTATTCTACTTTGCTCATTTAAACAACTACATTCTTGATGAATTGAAGGCCGTTCAGATGAATCAAAGCAATTCAATGACCAACAGCAATCACAGAAAGTAAAGTCATAGAAAATCAAGAAAATGATTAAATTAAAGTCATAGAATTGATGGACTGAAACGAAGAAGCTATCATGGATCAACTCTTCTATAAATTTCAGCTTTACGGTGGAGATCCAGAAACGTTTTATATCTCAAACAGATGTCTCCCTCTAAATGCAGCTGATTCAGAATTTAATGATCATAGTACTTGTATGGTTGGATACACCATATAATCAAGCTGTGTATGGCCTTTTGGACAAATTAGGTTGGTATTTCGTTTGGATAATTTGTACTAGAAAGCTTAGTTATTTTATTCTAATTTTGATTGCATTAAGAGCGTTTCTTATTTTTATTGAGAAACATGATAAATGTTTTTTCTCCCCATCTTTCAGGTAGCTTAGTGGTGAGACTTGTCTTACCTTTTGAAGAAAGTTCATATGCAACATGTGCAAGGTCTGCTTCAGGTTCTATTTCTCTCTTCTTATCTTGATGTTTGGACCAGAAAACCCTAATGTCCAGTATTTTTTGACTATTGTTTGCTTCTACTTTACTTTTTCTTCTTTATCTTCCATGTTGCTTTTGGCGTGCAATTCTTTATTTGTCTCTCATTTCTCTCCCTTTCATTTACTTGGTTGTTGTGTTTGCAATTCAAAGTTTATTAATGAAACAATAAGGTGGGACAGGGGTCACTAAATGCTAACATTATATAGCTTATATTACATTATGGGAAATATAGTTATTTCCATATGTATGGCATTCTTTATGTCACATGCATTAAGGTCACAGTCATGATTTCAGGACTATGTTAAGAATATTTTATCAATACATTTTTAACTCACTCTTGTAATTATACTATGTTGAGCGCCTTTCATATTTAATCATAAAGTTTTCTATTTTTGGTTGAGCATACAGCCATCCTAAGATTGTTTTCAATTTCACAGAAATGTGGTTTGGTCATTCCTGGAAGGACAAAATCCAGAAAAAAGCGGGAAACTAAGAAAGTGCCTCACAGAGTCCCTGAAGTTAGTTTTGTTGATAGGTATGTCATTTCATTTAATTTCATATTTTGTCTTGGATGCATATTTCTTAATTTTCCTATTATTCAGTAACAAGAAGTTATTTCTGGTCCTTACTTGAAGAAAGATGCAAATTTATGCGTATCTCAGTGGTTTTACAAAGATTTCTTAAAGCTTTTAAAAGAAAATAATATATTTTTATTGAGTCTTTCTCAGAATTGTTGACTTAAATTGTATCTCGACAATATAAATTACTGCATAGCCATATGCGATGCTATGTTGTCTAATATTCAGTTTTCTTTACAATGCTGTATTGAACTATCCTCTTCTCTTCTATTGAAATAGGAAAACTTAAACCTATGTATTTCTATGTTTTCCTTATATGAATTTCTTTTGTGAGAAGAAAAGAAAACGACACAGTAAGTTTGAATCTAAAAAAGAAAATGACATAGTAAGTTTGAATCTAACAATCTATGAGAATATTATCCTTTACCTTGGTGGCACCTATTGAGGAAAAAATGATAGAATCAAACATTTAGGAATGTGTGGAGCATAACTGATTTTTTAATCACATCTCTAATATATTTTAAATGTAAATTAGTTAGATAATATTATTTGCTCTAAAAAAGCTGAAAATGATATGCTGACCTAATGTGACATTTGAAGGTGCATGACAGATTGATGGCGTCTTTATCCTTCGACATCGCAACTGGAAATGAAGTATGTTGTCTATTACAAACTGCACTGCACACAGCTGCATTAAAGAAAGATGACATGATGATAAATGAATTTTATCATACATCAATGGAAGCGCTCTACTTGCCATATGTGGTTCTTACGTTGACTTTTTCTCCATACAAACATCATCAACCCCACATTTGGTAATATGTGATTGATTATTGTATTTATTGAGACACATGCTGAGAGGATAATATTTTTTTGTTTGATTCTGATTTATCAAATCTAATTGTTATTTTTTACTTTTCCATATTTTTATCTTGTTTCTCAAACGGGTTCTATTTCAATTATTGAATCCTATTACCAGAAATTTATGTGTTGCTAGTTAATTAGGTTGCTATGTAGTAGCATGCATTTTGTGAAATAAATATGCATCCAAAAGGATAAGGGGCCTTATGATAGTTGCGGTCGTAATAAAACTTTTGCCTCAAAAACTTTGTGGTCATTTCATACACATCTGATGTCTCTGAAACAGAGGTCCATGCTCTTGATTGAAAATGATTCCTCAACTGCGCATCATTGCACAAAATCTGAGCAAGAGTCGTCTTACCTACCCCTCCCATCCCAACATAGCAACCACAGACACCCTTTCTTCATTGGAATTGCCAGATAGCAGAAAATTAATATTCTTCTCTCTATCAGCGTTTCTACCAAACACTCGATGTTCATCCACCAAAGTTGTAGCTGATGCTAACGGGAGTGTCAGTGATTTACCTACACTGCTTTCCTTAAGACCAAGAACATCTTTATGCTCTATTATAGATTTCAACCTCTCAACTATCTTTTCAACTTTTGCTTTAACTCATTCAGCAAATGGATTGAGAGAAGAAGCATAACCTCTTACCTTATCTAAGGTGGTGTGAAACCCAGAATTGATCTTATCTTGCATGGCTTTCGTGGCAATCTCATCCAATACATCATCAGCATCATAGGCAGCATTTTTAAGTCCATTCTTTCACCGATGGATTAATAAACTATTTTTCCTCAGCATCACTTAAGCACGGTAGCGACAGACAGCAAAAGCATCTTCAACTTCCCTAGAAGTGCCTCATCAAGATGGTTGCCCCAGAAGAATTCTAAAAGCTCACGATGAGCTACCCTAGCCAACCGCACTTGTAGGAAGGCAGAGACAAACGAACCTAGCATATCAACCATGATGCTGTGATTTGTGATCTTTTCAGAACGTGAAAAAGTGGAAGAAATGTAATGATAGTTGTCTAGTGTTTATAATTCCCTGCTTTGTTGAGACACTAAAGGAAAACGATAAGGCTTTGGTGTTTAGACTAGAGAGAAATTGCTTTGGCTTCGAGGCAGCTGACTTCTCACTCAGTTACAACCAAGGAAGCAGGTAATGGTGTTGTGGACCCACCTGATTTGTTTACCATGAGTTGAAGTTTGAAATTTCAACGAAAGAAAGGCCAAAATGTTGTAGAGCCCTGGAGCTTGGAATTCTGAGTTCTTAAAATCAATGTTAATTATTGATCTGAAAACACGTTATAATTTTTTACTGAGAGGGGAGAGAGATCAAATTACCAGAACCTGCTGGGGAAATGAGGGACGCCCCGTCAGTAATTAGCTTAGGGGCACGTAGTCCTTTTATTATCTCATCATATTCCACAAGAACGAAGTTATTATTTATATTTACGTTCATGCAAAATCCAAATGCTAGAAAAACCAGGAGGGGACAGATGAAATATTAAAGTGAGACTCTTCAGAGCACAGCAGCCATAAACTTATTTTACAATAACAATTTATAGGTATTCCAAGGAAAACCTATCTAACAGGCATTACTCAAAGGCAAACATTTCACTCATTCTCTATCATTGGGTCCCACGAATTTATTCCAGGAATTTGTCTGGGTAGTCTTCAAAACCACTACAATTACAAGGTTCCTTTTGTAGTAAGTGACAGTGGCATCTGAAGTAGCTAAATTACTTTATGGAATGTATTTATATTTCTTGAGAACTAAGGATCAAAAACTTAAATTTCCAGACAGATCATGCCTACCCGGGCTTTACTTTCTCAACACGTCTTTTATCAAAGCACGGGATGAACCGAGATAAAGGTACCCAACAGCTGCCTAAAAGGGTGATCCCTTGGTAAAGTAAGAACAGAATATTACTCCTTGACAGTTCAACGACAATAGCTCATTATTTGATGAACATTATTATTTATTAACAGATAAGCTTACAAACTTTCACATATTCAGTAAACAAATTAAGAAAATCCATCACAGTTTTGAATTCTGATATAGTGAAGCCATAAGACATGTGAGTATCGGGTCCCCTGACTAATGCAAATTGCTTGGTCAGATGACCCAAAACCAAGCTATAATAGACCCAGCAGCCAGACCAAAAACTAAGAATAATACACTCACAATCCCTGCCGTCTCTGCATGCTGCAAATTTACAGTTTTAGGAATCAAAATCATCAATACACTGGTTAAGTAGCCATTAGTAAGCCCTAACAGGCAAGTCAGTATTGTCACGAGAATCTCAGTTCGGAAGAATTTGGGACCATGCAAGCACCCTAAGAAGAGAGGGAACAACAATCTTGCTATGCAACCACCTATTACAATTTTTGCATTCTCTGAGGTATACGCCAGTGAGACACTAGCCAACAAGATCAAACACATTATAACTAGCAATTAGGATAATTGGGTACCAATCCTTAAGAATTTGAGAGTGCACATCCTCAGTAACATAACCAGGAAATATAGCCAGAGTCACAACATAAATGAGCACCCATACCACTTGACTCTTCCGACAATATTCCAGACAGTTGACCTCCAGACAGCTCCCGTCAAGGGATCATTATCTTCATTGGCAGCAACCGCCTGAACCTTAAGTTCATTATAGTACTTCATAACAGGAAGTCTGTGCACCAAGTTGCAGAAAACCATGCATATGAACACAATTACAATTGATACAGCAAAGTAAAGATTTGCACTCTTTTGCAGGCCTAAGGCATCTTGTGGGTAAACAGCTTTTGTAAATATCCTCAGAACCGCACAAAGCACCCCTGAAGTCAAAACATCCATCCATAGTGAAAAAAGAAGAACCATGTACCCTACCCAACTTCAATAAACAGAAATACATCTATGATCTTTGACAAAATAGTGGCATACGTACCTAAAATCCAGCATATTAATGTGCTTCAGATTATAGGGTACTAAAAACCTAAAACCATGAACTATCAAAATCACACCAAAATGAACCCTGCCTAATTGGTTGACATTGACTAAGCCCTAAATTGGTCATCTGCCAAACATAACGAGCATTTGGAAAAACATTAAAAATCTGTAACCGCGGATTTAACACACAAACTATAACTAGTAATGTTTATTCAAACATACATCCCTATAACTAAGTAAAATTTAGGGTTTAAATAAAAGTCATTTAAACATGAATCCAAATATGCTCATTAAGTTTCATCTAAAACTCAAGCTCCATTTTGTGCGTTTTATTATTCATTAATTCATTACCTTGTAATAAGAAAAGAAATCATTGCTAGTAACCAACTAACTACAAGAAGCAGCAGTGCCGGCGATGACAGCTTGCATGTACCTCTCCGGCAACTCGCCGACATAACCAACAATGGAGCCTGGACAAGCGCATAGGCTACGCCGGAAAGGGCAACCGCGCCAGCGGTGACGTAGAAGCCGGCATAGAGCCCGACCCGGCCCTGAACGCAGAAGGTATCGAGAAGGGGAACGATGAGAAGAGAAACGAAGAACAAAGCGAGACCATCGATGATCCTAACATGTGCGTCAGAGTTGTGGCTGTAGAGGATGATGAGGAAGATTCCGACGAGACCGATGAGCATGCAAAAGACGGCGAAGATGCGGTCAACGCTGGCATCGGGGTAGAGGTAGGAGAAATAGTCAACGGCGGTGATGAACACGTTCCAAGGGAGAAGGTAACCGAGGCCGAGGGTGAAATACACTATGTATGTTAATTGCCATTTGTCTTCTGGAACATTCTTGCTTCGTGTGGCCGAACCTGAAGGGAGGAGCGAGGTCGATTCTGTGAAACCCATCCCAATCCCTTCCGGTTCCGATTCAGGTTCGGAGTTCTCAATCCACAACTGTCCAAGACCAGGAATCCACGATGCTTGTTCCTTAATGGTAACGTGCTTAGTTACCCACAGGAAAAACCAATGTCTATAGTGATTGCTTTTGTATTTTTTATTTTTTATTTTTTTGTTTATCTAAATTTAGGATGTGGGCTCTCCCACTTCTATTTATTAATGAGAATGAAAATTAATTTCACAATAAAAAAATAAACTGTATTTTAAGAAAGAAAATATCTTTTTCTATCTGGTTATTTGGCATCCATTTCTAATGTTGACTAAATTCGGTCAGTGATACTCTCACATTCTAAATGTGAAATTATTATTAGGATAATGTTTTGATTTGACTAATTTATTCTTTATAAACTTATATTAAGTAATTAATTAATAACATAATAACTTTTTAAAGAAAAATTTCTTTTAAACAAATTAAGTATGTTGTAATTTAAAATTAATGCATATTAAGAGTATGTTTAATTTCTCTTTTTAATTTTTTTTAATTTTTTTTCTAAATATAGTATAAATTATTTAAAATAAAAAATAAAAAATAAAAAAATCTTTTTAAAAGAAAAATAAAACATACCCTAAATGTTTAATTGTCATATTTATCTTAGGTTTGTAAATAATAATTTTAGTAGACATTTGTTTTTGTAAAAAATAATTTTCTTTTTTTAATATCTTTGGTTAAGAACTTTTTTTTTTTTTTGTTGGTATTATTCTAATACGTAACAATGCAAAACTAACCAACAGCGGAAAGTGAAATATTTGTTACCTAAAAGGATTTATTGAATGAAAGGATTTTTCTTGAGCATTTAATGTTACCTATTTATTTAAATCTGACATGCAGTAATCACGTAAAAAAATTGATATTCTAAATCAATTTGAATCGTCCGATTGAACCCGCAAATTGAAAAATTGACAAATTAACTAATCCAAGTAGTATATTTGATCGAAAAATGCATTGAAAATAGAAAATTTTGGTTACATTGTTAAATAAACTAGTGGATTGCCCATTAATATAGTTTAAGAAGAAAACAATGAAGAAGTTAAAAAAACAACCATCGTGTATATGAAGGTTGTTGTTCACTATCTGCGTTTGATATTATATGTGAAGATCATTTTAAAATAACAGGTAAAAAATAGTATTGTCACAAACTAAAATTTTAAAAATT